GAGGAGTCATTAATCCTCTAGAGACCCCACAAGCTCCCCACGCACCGCATGACTCAGTGGCGCCCTTTAAGAAGATTATTTGATTGATGACGTGGACAATTAGACTTGTGAACTTGACATCCCTGTCGATGGCAGTGGTGAGAGAGGAAGGGAGAGGTCTATTTTTGAATCCTATCATCGATGACGAGAAATGGTGGTGTTTGGGGGAGAGGGGCGACCAGCAGGCAGCACTGAACAGGGACCCGGGCCAGTGAGCGCCGCTGTCCGGTGGTTTTCTTCCCGGGCTTGCTGCGGGGTCTGGAGAAGCCCAGCTCCTCTCCCCCGCGTCACATGCAGGCCTGCGTGGGGACCGGGGACACGTGCAAGCCCTGCGCGCCGCGGACCCTGCCCACCGCCCGCCGCCGGCCACACTCGTCCCCGGAAGCGCGGGCGAGGGCCTGGGGTCGTCACGAGCCGCCCGGGGTCCCGCACGCGAGGCCGCGCAGGGCGTGCGCCTCTGCGGCGCGTTCCCCGCTCGCCGCGCGCCAGCGACCCACTTGAGCCTCAAGAGCCTTCTCTCTGATGGAACTTGAAACCGAACCGTCATGTTCTCCCGCCTAAACGTACCCGGGCGCGCCTCTCGCTTCCCTCCGACCTCCGCCCCCGGCCCCCTCCCCTCCGCAAAGACAGAATTTGTTTCCATAATTCCAACTTCTCCCGGGGAGGAGGAAAAACCCGAGGGGTGGCGGCTGCAGGACAGCCTTGGTGTTTGCACGTGGCCCTCATGGCCCCCAGGGTGGCCTAGCTGCCCAGCTGCAGGGCTTCGGAGGCTCCCAGGGCCTGTCCACTCTCCTCTCTGCCCTGTGCTCGTCTACCCCTCCGCTGGGAGTAGGTCTGGACTCGAACCCAGCTCTGCCAGCTTTGGCCAGGGACCTCTCACGGAGCCTAAAAGGCTAGCATGCTCATCTCTGAAATAGGCCTGCGTCACCCCTCGGCCAGACTGCGGGGAGCTCTGATGACATGGCTCTGGGCTGGAGGCTGGATCCCAGGGAGAGGCAGAAAAAGCTGTGGCGGCTTATGTGGACCCTAGCGGGCACGGGTTAACTGTGTCGCCGCAGCGGGACTCCCCGCTGTAGGTAACTGGGGAGTCTGACTCTGGTCCTGTCTTGGTCAATAAGCACTCCCTTTGGGAAGAGCAACGGCAGCAGCGGCAGCAGCAGAGCCCGGGAAGCCAGCGGCTTCTCTTGGAGGGAGGGAGGATGGAGAATGTATTGTGCGGTGCGTGGGGAGGGGGACACGGCACCCACCAGACCTCCTGGTACCTCTGTCTCCTGGCCCTACCGAATCCCACTAGGACTGGCTCGAATCCCACTAGGACTGGCTCAACGGTGGCTCAGACATCTCCAAACAACACAACCCGGTTCAGGCAGGAACAAAGCCTGCTGGCGGGGAGATTCTCAGCGCTGGGGAGGGGGCGAGTCTCAGAGCAGAATGTCAAGGTGGGGGTGCAGCCCCCATCGGCCCTCCTTGCCTGCTGTCCAGACTAGTTCTTGCTCCACCCTGCTGACCTTCCCTGATCAGCAATTTTGTCTTTAATCAAGGGGGAAGTGGTCTGGAGCTGGCCCTGGCGGGGTCAGGATTTGAATGGTGGGGGGAGGGAGAGGGGAAAAGACGGGCTATAACATTTCTTTAGTTCCCTTAGAAAACTTTCACTCATGGCCAGCTTTGTGGCTGGGCTTTCTCTGGCCGATTCTGCTGGCTTTCTTCTGCCCACTGGGGGCTGTGGCTGCAGACACTTGGTGTGGCAAGTGAGAAGGAGCCTGGCCCCAAGGAAGTCCAGGCCCTGTATTCTAATGTGACCCCATGGTTGGCAAGTCCAGTCCCGGTACCGGTACCCATGTAGTCATGCGCCGTGCTGTGGTGACTGGTGGGCTGAGCATTTCCAGAGGGGGCTGCTGGCCTCACCCCTATGGTCCCAGGAGTCTGAACATAAGCCCTGGATGTGGGGAGGGGTGCAGAGAGGAGAGATTCACACAGAGAGGAGGGGGTGGCTGTTCTCCAGCCCCAGGATCTGCTTGCAAACTGCAGACGCTGCTGTCTTTTCCTCAAGGGACTAGATTGGCATTTTCATTCTTTCTGTGCAGCCTTGGAGTCTGTGACAGTCCCCACCCTCCCCTCCCTTAATGCTCCTAAGCTTACCCCTCTCGACGTCTGCTTGCCGCAAAAAAAAATCTTTGGTCTACTGAATTTGAAACTGCTTTATTGAGACCAGAGCAAACCAGCATCCGCTCCGGGGCTGGTAGGTCCTGTCAGTGGGAAGCTCTTCCCGCCCTCAGCAGACCTGCGAGAGGCTCCTGAAAGGCCCAGGTCAGAAGGACCCTGCCTTCTCTCGGTGAGATCTCTGTAGCTGGCTGGGGCAGAAGCCGGGTCACAACTGTTGGAGGAAGGACTGGAGGGGACAGACCTCGTGAGCACAGAGCTCTTCTGTTTACAAAATCAGAGTTCTTTGTCGGGACAGGTATATCATTCTGCTTACAGACAGGGAAAGAGGGCCCAGGGCCCAGGGCCCTCAGCAGATATGGGATGAAACTGGGATTAGAGAGCAGGGGCCCATCAGCCAGGGGAGTGCCCTTTGGTGAGGATGCCCCCCCCCCTGCTTCCCTCCCTTCCCAAACTGGGCAGCACAGAGAAGGGACCTGGTAGGGAGGAGTCATTTAGATGAAGGACCCACTGGACTGCTGCTGGGGCCCCCTTCCTTCATGCTCCATGGAGTCACAACCTCTCCATGTGACTTGGGCAGGAGCCTGGGGAGCCCTCACCACTGGGCCACCCAGCCCTAAGATCTTCCACCCCTCCTTGGCTTCTAGCTGAGAAGCCAGCTCTGCCTCTTGCATAGGATAATTTTGGAGGCTGAAGACAGGGTCCTCAGGAGGAGAGAAGAGAGGAAGGAGGGTCAGGAATAACTTGGTGCTTGCAGTGCCATGGACAGAGGGGCTTCCTGGCTTGGGCCTGCCAGCTGCCCCAAAAAGTGTGTTTTTTAAAGATAATAATAATATTTATTTATTTATTTATTTATTTTTAAATAATAATAATAATTTTATTTATTATTATTTATTTTATTTATTGTTTTAAAATAATAAGAATTATTATTTTTTATTTATTATTTATTTTTATTTATTATTTTAAAATAATATTTTATTTATTATTATTATTATTTTAAAACAATAATTATCATTTTATTTATTATTATTTATTTTTAATTTATTATTCTAAAATAATAATTATTATTTTATTTATTATCATTTGTTTTTATTTATTATTTTAAAATAATAATTATTATTATTTTATTTATTATTGTTATTTATTTTTATTTTAAAATAATAATGATTCTTATTTTATTATTTATTTATTTACTTATTATTTTAAAATAATGATTATCATCTTTAGAAAACACTTTTAAAAATAAAAATAATTTTAATATGATAAATAATTATAATAAACAATAAACACGAATTTTAAAATAATAATAATAACAATAATAATAATTATTATTATTATTAATACTGGGGATTGAACTCCGGGGTGCTTAACCACTGAGGTACATAGCCAGCTTGCTTGCTTTCTTCCCCCTCCCCTCTTTTTTTCTCTTTTGGCACTGGGGAAAGAATCCAGGGTCACTCAACCACTGAGCCACTTTCCCAGCCCTTTTTTTGTATTTTATTCAGAGACAGGGTCTGGCTGGGTTCTTTAGGACCTCTCTAAGTTGCTGAGGGTGGCTTTGAACTCTTGCTTCAGCCTCCGGAGCCGCGGGGATTACAGGCATGCGCAATGGCGTCAGGCTGCCCCAGCGGCTCTCGTTCTAGTCAGGGGCACTGGACACAAAGATCTGCTGGACTAGACTTAGCTTTATTGATTCGAGGAAAGACTCCATAGAAGAGAGAGGAGCCACAGAAATGCATGGGCATCTGGTGGGCACCCTGACTGTTCCGTCTAGCCTGCCCCCCAAACAAAGCCCCCACCCATCTGGGTCTTCCGCTGAGAACACCGGAGACAGCATGCACAAAGGGATGGGGATTCCGCTGCAGCCGCCTCGGAGCGGTTCTGAGGTCTCCACCGGAGCCATGTGCTCTCCGCACCCCCCTCCTTCCCCCGCACCCCCCCCATCACCATCAGCTATCTTAAGGGACTGCACTGGCCCTGGGGGTTCCCACATCTCTAAGGATGGTCGGAGTGTCCTGAAACCTGCCAGTGCACCTTCAGATGGCTCTGATTCAAAGAAACTACTCCCCAGGGTTCAAAGGGGCAAAGATCCCCTCTACCCAGCACTGAGTAAGGAGAGACTGTGAGGAGCAGGCACCAGCTCCCCAGATCTGCAGGCAAATTAAGCCTACAAAAATGACCCCTCCAAAAATCTTGACTTCCCCAGAAAGTTAAATCCCTTTCATCTCCTTTTCCCCCTCCCTCCCTATCTTTTAGAGCTGGGGATTCAGAGAGTGTGGCTGCCCCCCCCCAGTGAGGGCTCCATCCCCAGTTGGGATCTAAACGGAGTTGGGGGCTGGGGGGCAGGAGGGACATTGGGGAGACCCCTCTCCAGAAGCTTTGGGGGGGTCAGTATCTGGCAGGGTCAGTATTTCCTTCCCCCACTCCAGCAAACTCCTGGCTGTAGGCTTCCCAGTGGGTCTGGAAGATTATATATTGGAAGGCTAACAACATGTGTCACTGTGGACAAAGATGAATTCAATTGTGTATGTGTTGGGAGAATTTTCATTGGGGGAGGTGTGATTGCATATTTGAATTTTTTTTAAGAGTATGACCAAGAATCTGATTTGTGGGTTTTGGGAACTGAGCATGGATGCTTATGAATATCAGGTGTGTGGCCAGCACATGTGCGCAGGAGAATCCACGTGTTTATGTTTCTGATGATTAAGACCCCCGCTGTGACGCCAGCATGTGTGTGGGTGGCTGAGACTGAATCGGAGCAGGGTGTCAGTGTGTTTACAGCGTGTTTAGGTGCGCGTGTGCTCTGCTTTTGCTTCTGCACAGAGAATGCCCAGATTTTCTGAACTTTTTATCTATTGTCTGGGCGCCTGGGACTAAGCATGCGGTGGTCTCAGTTGTTACTATTATTGACCTTGCGGTGTGTTTGGGTTGCTGTTTGTGTCTGGGTAGCGGGGTGCGTGTTGCTAAAGGGGCATCTGAATGCCCTGTCGTGCCTCTCCATGACTGGGGAAACTGAGGGCACAATAATTTTTCTGAGTGTTTTTTTGGGCGCCTGCTTGTTAATGTGCGTTTTCCACGTTGCCGTCGTGTTCGTTTGTGTTCTTCTGGGCATATAACGCAAGCCTTGAGTGCTCCGGACCCTCACAGTAAGTCTCTCGAAGTTTTGGGGTGCGTTTCTCTCTTCCGCGCGTCGAGTTTCCTCGAGCGCCTGCCGGCTTAGCCAGGCTGGGTTTCTGCAACTCGCGCTCGCTTGGCGGGCTGGCGGGCTGCGCAGGCACGCCTGCGCGCTGTCCTGTGCGTCCTGTGCGGGGGGTACCTG